TCATTGCCACGCTCTCCCGCCTGTCGACTGGTCCGGTGTAGTAGGTACACTATTTTTATTTATTTATTTATTAATTTATTTTTTTTTTTTTTTACTCTTCTTTCTCCGAGTCCGCCGATGATACAGACCTCGTCTACCCGTCTACGATACACGCACCACGACATCGTATAAATAATATAATATGGATAATTTAAAATATATTTAATACATATATGTAGTCGAGACGAGTATGAATGCAGAGAAAAAAAAGCTCTATATTCGATATTGTAAACGGAGACCATATATATTATTATTAGGTATATACCCACTTATCGATTGCCACTCGCAGTAGCTGCGGTATTTCTCATAAACGCGTGAAATGAATGATCATTGATCATCATAACTATATACATCTAACCACGATCCTCATCAACAGACCACCGGCGTGTGTGTTACATGGTGATGGTGTGCAGATTTATATAATAACGTGTAATGTACTAATGTGTACCTATAATAATATTATGACGATGTCGAGCTCGCTGTGGGATTTTTAAGTATTGACTTTTACCTATTTAGAAGTTAAAACTGTAGACGAGAAAAAAAAATAATAATATAGGTACTAGATTTTATTGCATTGTTGTATTCATCGTCGCGCGTGCAATATTTATCGTTTCGCGTTTAGTTTTTATACATACTATTTTATTAGTTATAACATGTTATTATCCTGATGAAGTATTTTGAAAGCGAGTTTTTGTCAAAGGTAAAACGGACGATTTATAGGTATTATAGTAAGTAGATTTATGTGTGTTTATCTTCAACTGGGATGAATTTTTTTTCTTGATTTTTTTTCAGTCCACAATTTATTAATCAAGTGCTGTTTTATACTTATATCAGTATAAAATATAGATACCAACCCAAAGTAGTATAATAATAGATTTAAAGAGATTTTTGTAAACTAAATAATTATCATAATGATGTGGTAAATATTATGATTCATAAAATTATAATAATTATATGCTTATAGCCTATACCTTACAGTATACAGTGAAATAATATTACGTATATGACGACTATAAATAATAACTATATTATAATGGAAACTGTGATCAGCTGTTGAGTGTCGACCGACTGTATTTTGGAGACTGACTGCAGTGATTTGCGAGTGTCTTTGAGGCTTTGGGGATTGCATGCTCGTATATGTATATAATTTATATTATCATCATATGCAACAAAAGACGATGATATCTGATGCGAATTTATGGTCAAATAATAATGGATAATGTATTAATGTGAAAGTTTTCAGTACATATAAAAATTGCCAATATGATGTACTTACTATAGAGGAGACGGGTTAATAAAAAAAATTGATTATTGACATAATTTACAAGTCTTAATCGGGTACGCAAAAATTATAGTTATATTTGGCAATGTTTCGTTTTCTCCGCATTTCTATATTATATATAGCCATAATATATTATATTCATATAAGTACCGAAGATATTTTCTTTATTTATAAATTTAGTATTTTTATACCTACAATCTACATTTTAAAATATACTTATCATACTATAGGCACCTATTTACATAGGTACAAGGTACCTTTACTGTATACATTGAACCTACTGGCCAGAGTACTTACTATATCATTAAAAAATTATGGTTAAACAAAAAAAATCAAAATTATACTAAACGTATAAAAAGGAATAAACACTTAATTTTACTAGGTATGTCTATAAATAACATGACATTCTTCAATAGAATAATTCTGCTGATTATGTAGAATCATTATAAAAATTCGAAGGATTAAAGCCACTTTATTTATATAGTCTTGTACTTACTATATTACTTAATTCTTCGGCATATATAAACGAATTCTATTGTATAAATAACTTTACTTCTGACTAACACCTGCATTTTTTGATAAAAATGTAGAATGTAGTATCTATACTATAATATCTATACAATAATTGTAGTATGTAGTGCTTAGTATTACTATTAGTAGTATTTCTAAAAGTTGTAAAATTGATTAGTTGTTGAATCGATATGGATTATTGATGGTGCGCGTATAATAGTCTTAATTTTTTTTTTTTTTAATTTAGTCTTAGTATTTATTGTAGCAAAACCGTTGCAGTCATGCTCAAAGTTCGTTCTGCGTTGAAATAATTTTATACTCCTAATACGTATTAATTTTTTTTAACTGAATATCCGGTAAAAGTTGTATTAATGTATTATAGTGGTTTGAACTTGGTGTAATGGTATAAAACGTATTGACGTTGTTCTTATTTGTAATTCGTATTAGGTCGTCAATATGATACAACAAATTCACATTTAAAATGGAAAATGTTATTCTAATTCAGCCGTTGTCCCGCTAAAAAAAAAAAAAAATAGAAAACCAAAATGTATTGATATATTATTATTTATTTTGTTGCACAGTGCACACAGCTATAGCTATGGTTATATAACTGTAGTTTATGACTGTATAATATAATATATGTATCAGAAAATATGATGAGATCGTAACAGCCTATATTTTTGATATATTGAAAGGTGGTTATAAAAAAGTGCCCAATTTAAATAAAAATCTCATAAAAAATAATTGAAAATGAAGAGTTTCCATCATATTTAATTTATAAGTCGCGAACACTCGGCTGTTACAGTGTTACTTGTTATTGCCGCGTAGATTGTATTACAGACTTATATTATTTTGTAGAAACTCCACGTTGTAGGTATATAAATATTCTTTATATATAGTATTATGCACTATATACTATATATTTTTATACAAACATGTTATAACAATTAATACAATATTCATAGATAAAACTGATTTTCATTTCTAGTATGTAGCCGCATGCTGGTAATGTTGATAAATTTTTAATAGCTATACTTTTATCACATGACCCGAGATGGATTGTAATCAAATATTATATGTTAACTTGAGCTTAACAATCTAGCTATATATAGGTAAATATTAAAGTTACCGATATAAAAAGCCTATTGTTGAGACGATGATATGATGCGTATATATCATTTCAAGTTTCGTATTATTGTTGTATTTTTCTCGGTATTATGCGTTAAAAAGCGTTCAAGTAATTAAACAATAAAATAATATATTACGATATTAAGAGTTGAAAATTTTACCTATTAAAAAAATAAAGATAAAGATTTAAAATTTTTTTTTTTGTATTTAATACGTTCTTTAATCCATTATTCAGATATTGTAATAATACACATAGACATATATATTTAAATCCTAAAAACCTATCAATTCAACAACCAAGAAGATAAATCTGAAATACAAGTTCTACAAAAGGTTAGATAACACATGTATTCAATACGTACCTTAATTTGCTTTATAAAAGTATATATATATATGTATATAAAGAAAAGCTCTTGTACTCATTTCTGTACTAAAACATAGTATTAAGTAATTATATTTAATTCAATGTATTAATTATTTATTTAACCTACTTAAGTAATGAGTTAAGAACATAACATTAAACATAATATTTTAATATGTTTTTATATAAACATAATAATAATTTCCAATTACAATTATTAACATCCTATTCTTGAATTAACTGATTCACCGTTACCCTATCTACAACCATATTTTTAATGAATTACAATATGATCTATTGGTTATGTAAAATTGCTGTGAATTATAAAATTATCAAGTTGTCGAATTAGAAAACAATATCATAACGAAGTAGTCATTAATCAATTATCCTTTACAATTTCACCGATAATGCAAATGGTTTAATGGGTGTATTCGTATATTATAATGAATTAAAAATAAAGTAGAAGAATATAATAAAAATAAGTGGTGAGTTAATTTAAAAATAAGATATAAAAACTTGTAATTTGAGGTTGTTGTTATATTTGCATGAGAGGCAAGAGCACATCATCACATTATATTTGAATTGTTATATTCAACTCATTACTTAAATATTATTATTTTATGTGATAATTTTTGCACGGGGATGAGTACGAGAGTTTTTCCTCTCATATATAAATATTCTACTTTAATTAAATGTGGTACGTATTACTGTATTAGATACAGATATTACCTTATACCTTTTGTTGAATTTGGACACTGGAGTTATTATTTTCTTGGATGTTGAACTGGTTGATATTTTTAAGGAATTAATAAAATAAAATAAAATCTACAGTAATAATGTTTTAATGTTATAAAAGATATATTAATTTAAACTTAGTAAGTATACAATAATAGGATGTGAACAGAGCAAGCAACTTAGTACGTTTTTGTGTGTTGTGTGGGTTTTTATAGATGTTTTATATGTGACATTATGATTATTGGATGTATTGTAATGATTTTAACTCTTTTAATTATTCTATAGTATTCAATTTATTGTCTTAATCCTAAAGGTTATCTGTAGTTCTTAAATCAATTAATTTAAATGTAAATTATAATAATTTATTATGAGGTATATAATTTGATTTCTTATTTTTAGTTTAAATTTCGTCTAATAAATATGTACAATTAAATATAATTTTAATGATATATTATAATATATATCATTACAATATTTATGTTCATTTTAATATCGCTATACTTATTCAAATTCGTGGCCGTCGTTCGCAGTACATAGTATTATTTTATAAATTATAATAATATATTATAATGACGCTATCAACTCCTCAACTCAACATTTGTCAATCCTCCGTCATTCATGTCACACGTGTATATATGTATATAATAATAATAATTATTATTATAATAACAGTTTAACTACATGTTTACGTAAATACATTCGAAATCATTCATATCGTACCTATCTTAAAGTCGACTCAACTTGAATATAATTACGGTTTGTAGCGATTTATCATCTCATAATAATATTATATATACATATATAGATAGATTATGTAGGTCTGGTTCAGTACGCCCCACCAACTGTAGCATCAGTAACGGTGGTCGAGGCATTCGTGCAGCATCTGTCCGAGTAACTCAGACGAATATATAGTTCAAAAGTATGACAAAAAAAATTTTAAGTATATATTATTATGTGTTGTATCTATTCTGTACCTATGTGCGAGTGTACAATCGTAATGTGTGTGTTTAAATTGACTTGTACTATTTTTTTTCGTTTTATTATTTTTTGCTGTACACAAGATTATCCCTCGAACGTATACCGCACTGTATATAATATATGTAAAAACCTACCTTATATAATAATATTATTACGTTTACGGGAATAATTCTTCTCGTGACCGGTCCGTGTTTGAGCATAATGTGTGTACATAATAATATAGCATATTATAATAATATAATAATCATCAAGAAAAGACACACCTGCGTTTTATGTTAATTTCCGTTCGCCTACACCTTGCTTCGTAGTAGCCAGGCGAACGAGCGCCACAGATGAGGCTTGTATTGTCGTATGGGTATATTATAATGGCCAGTATGTATATTTCCATATAGATTTATACTAACACATATATATTATTATACTTGAGGCGCGCGCGAAAAAATAAAACATAATCGTAGCTGAACGGATCCTCGTACGGGACATTCTGCCGCAGTTTAATATATTGATATGTATAATGTAAAATGTGTGCAGCAGTTTCCAAAGACCACAAAAATAAATGTTTATAAATTATACGTATTATTATATAGGTAAGTCGTAAGTACATTTAATTTAACTACGTATGCATTATTAAAAACCGATTTCCCGACGTTTTTATTTGTTTTTCTCTCTGCCTCCACCACCACAAAGTTCAATCGAACTAATCATGTGAACATTACTTTACATATATATTTATATAATATGATAATTTATAAGTGATTTAGAGACGTTGAATTATCATTATATTATTGTTATTATTATGTCGTAGACGTTTAGTTTTGTAAATACATATTCAATAACAAAATAGGTATCTCTTTTTTGCCACCTAACGACAAAATTATATAACTGTAGGAACTTGATAATCATTTAATGTTATTGGTTTTTTGAATAATAAATTAACCAGTACTCGTCGTCAATTAAATAAATAAACTATTATAATTTTCATTTGTGTAGGTAGATTAATTAAAAAATAAAAAGTATTTTCTATATAAACACCTAATTAGTATAAATATTATGATTAAAAAAAAAAGTTATTATAAAAAGTTATAATTTTCACAGAGAAATTATTAAAATATCCATAAAAATAAATATATTCTGTACACGTAATCTTAAAGTCTTTCTTTATTATAAATTATAATATATTCAATACAAGTTTTCAATAATTTAAATAGGTGAGTGTTATAAAAATTGTATATACATAATATTATGCATCGTATACTAAATACTATACTACTTAGGTACCTATATATTCCTTGTTAAGATAAATACATGACTTTTTTTTTGTGCACAAAATTGTAGTTATTAATTATGTTGTCTTTAAAATTACTCATATTCATTATAATATATAATTAAATGCGTGTTGTCGTTGACGTTTAAATAATAATTTATTAGTGAATCGTTGTTCAATGAAAAACAGAAAATATTCCACATCATCATTAACTAGACTATGTTCATTATTAGTGAATTTTTTTTATTTATCTCATTGTTTTTTATATTTATACGTTATATTATAATATGGTTTTTTAATAACGAACACTTATTCTTATAATGGGTTCTCATCATTAGCTTAAAGACGAAAATAATGTAAACACTCGAGAACAACTGTAAAACAATTTTATTTTAACGATTGTCATTTTGGGTACCTTCATTCGGTAGTTTAATATGATGTATTTGACTATACATATTAATTATTAGTTATTACTATGATTACATTTTAAGATTATTTTTGTGTTCGAAATATTTTATGAATTTTTCGTCGATGTGTCGATTGATTGACAAGTTTTCATAAAAAATGTCTTTTATCTTTCATAACTACAATAATATAATTATTATTTAATACTTCGCACTTTTACTACATTATTTATTGATCATTTATTACTAATTATATTATACTCGTTGTCGTCAACGCAACGCGATGAACGGGTATTATATTATAATTGAGTTTATCTCTTTTTTGCTAGCCAAAATGTAATATTAATATTTCTAAAATATCTATGGTTACAACTTACAATATACATAATATTATGTTGTACCATATAGTTAATGAGCAATGAGCTTATAATGTACTCTAAAGAGTAGACTTTTACAATTTATATTACTCGTTAGTCGTTAGACGTAAGTAAACCGATTAGTCTATAAAGACCACGGATACGTACATATAAATACATAATATAATATACGATTATTATTATAGTCGTACACAGAATTTACGTTTACGTGCCGTAAGACCGTTTATCCGACTTAGGCCTAAACGGATGTACGATTGTGTGTACATACGGTTTCGAAATGCGATTTCATTCCAATCACGCGTGTCACAGGAAATACAATACATATATAGAATATATATAAATGCATTTTTTTTTTTGAGTCCTTATATAGGATCTTACTGAAAAAATGTCTGACTACGTCCGTTTATCGGATTTCTTAGTATATTATATCAAACAATTATGTATGATGTGTGTGAAATGTAGAAATTCGATATTCGTTTGTTAAATATTTGTATGTTTGTGTGTATGTGTGCTCGTTACGCATTCTAGTGTATGAATTGTTTTGTTATTATTATTTTTAATTTTTATATAAAAAAAACCTGACGACTGTAAGTTATTGGCCACATCCTTGTGAAGTTTTTGTCATTTAATAAATATTAAATATAATATATTTAATATTTTAAATTTTTAAATTTTTTTTTATATTTTAATATATTCTAATATATTATATTATACTCGTATAGTTACTGTAATTACTTATCTATAATTGTGTTTTTTATTTCTTCAGACTAACATCGGTTGGTTGTTATATTATGTTCAATGTTGCCGTCGTTGTTTAACGGGTTTATAATTTTATGGTTTCGAAAGACTTCAAGCAAAAAACAATATATAAGTACAATAAGAGAGCGCATATTCGATAGAGCACGTGGGAAGATTTTCCGCGTAATAAACTTAAACGTATATAGTATTATATACATTAAACATATTTTCACAAGTTGAGCTATAAAATTATGGTTTGCTTAGGCACACCCTAATAGTTTTAAAAGTATATACGAATATATTATTCTACATTTTTATTGATAAATAGTGGTAAAATGTTATTTCAACAACCGTTTATTGATAAATTGGAAGATTTAAGTTTGTAGTGTACTCTAATATGTATTATACTAGTATATAAGCTAAACAATTTTTTCTACAATTCTGATCTGTAAGTATATTTTGTAATAAATAAAAAATAGTTTATCAACGTGGGTACGATTTCTTTGGTAATTTATGGTACTTTTGAGTCTCGTTTACATAGATTTAAATGCCAAGTGGTATTTGGGTGATTTTAATTTTGCCGTGTGAAAATTGAAAGTAAAATATAAATATGATGTCATATTATTTTTATTAATTTTAATTAAATGATATTGTATGCTATGTGTTGTGTAGCCTACTGCAATAAATTATTTGAACTGAATGTAGGTACTCAATTTTCAGTGAATGCTGTTTCGATATCATCACGTGGGATTTGGATACCTGACATTTATTCCGTTGTATTTAAAAAAATATTATTTGTAAGTGACTCAATAATGTAAAATTCATCCGTTCTGAAGAAATAAAATAAATATTTGTGCATTCAAATTAGTCATTATACGCGTGAATAGTTTTAATTGTTCATTAGTTACAAACGGAAATGAAAACTAAATTGATAAAATCATTATATTAAATATAAACGTATTATTTTGAAGTTGTTGGTGTTAAAAATTTTTTTATTAAAAAAAAACCATTTAAAAGCCGGAATATTTTTGATTTAAATGTGCGTTTTGTCGACAAACATCCGGCGCTGGTATACAATGGTCGGCAGTCGACGCGTATTATGATAATGCGTGTTGTACTCATATAGACACATAAATTATTATTATTAAAACATATTTTAGTATAGGTACCTACTTTGCGTGTGCGTACGTATATCATATAGCTCTCGGTGAAAAATTGCGTTACCACGTTATAATTTCTAAAGTATAATTTATAATATTATTGTTAATAAACTTACTGCTGCAGTAGTTTTCTGGGGCAAATTGAAAAGGAAGATTTATGTTGGACTGAGGATCATTGATTGTAAACATTGTACCTACGTTCACTGATGGAATTATATTATATACAGGTACTTATACTTACATGTATACTTATTATATATATATAACAAACATATGCGTGTGTGTAAAATTATTGCAAGAGACGCGTATACGAGACTCTCTTCTAACTAGGTAACTCGAAGACGTTGTACACGACCATAAATAATAATGTACATACTCACACAAACATACCGACGATTGAGCAGAGTCGTCCAATATGGCTATAACGACTCGTTCTTGTATGTACACACTGCAGGTACTTATAAACCGTCGTCTGACGAACTTATAGCTGCAAGTTCATGTCTGTGAATACGTAATTAGGGTATACTTCATATTATTATTATATATACAACCGATACTGACGTCAGCTGTCGATGTTTTATAAGCGCCCGTCCTTCAGGGGTATTTTTTTGAATTTATTATTATTATTATTTTTTTTTTTTTGATTGTCGAAAAAACGCGCAGTCATTATATTTTTTAGATGCATTACGATCCATATATGTATTTGTAGTCTCTTAAGATATATCGATTTTAAGCATTTATTGTCGATATAAATGATTCAATAATTTAAAAAAAAAAATATTTGCGTTATAATATATTTACACATGTTAAGTTGGTTTACAATTATTACGCGCAAATGATATTGCATATACATCACCTATAGTACCTTATCCATGTAATAAATTCTAATTGAAACTTAAAAACAATATTATTTTAAGTATTTGAGAATCATTTAGGTACCATTGCTTATTATTTAATGTATAATATATTATAAATATATATTGTATATTTGTATGTGTATAGTCGTATAGAATATCACTCGTGTATTGGTTGAAGGGGCTTGTTGAGTTATTGGGGGCTTTATATGACTCCCAATATTTGCGCCACTTTTTGTCGAATTATAAACCTATGTTAGAAATAATAATATATTATATTTTGCGATGCTGAGCTAATTAATTACATAAATAGTATCTATATTCTATAATATAAAATGTATAAATATACACTGTCTACACTATTTAGAGATATAGGTCAGTTTTGTAGAAAATGCTTTTAAAATTATATTTAAATACATTCATAAAGAAAGTATTTAGAATATATTTCAAATATTTTCCATAAATACTTATTTTCATTTTACTTTAATTGTAGTGTAACGCAATTACTTACAAATAACATATTTAACAAGTTGCATTGCTCATTAGAATTGTATATTACCTAGGTACTTCATTTTATACTGAAAAATGGAAATAAATAAAAATGTATTATATTTTAGCTCTGAAATACTTTAATATTAATTAAACAATAAACAGTGGTTAATGAAATATTAAATTAATGAATGTTTAATAATTTGATTTCAATTACAAATTAAATATCATGATAATATTTTGTAAATGGTATATAACATAAATACGCATATGTTATGCGATTTTTATGGTTTTTATCAATATAGGCAATATATATAAGTTAATTTATAAGTTCTGCTTCGCTTAATCGTTTATGGTTCAAAGTAACCATTTGCTAATTGTAATGGATTAATGGCCAATGGGTTGTTTACCGAATAATAGTAAACATTCTAAATCTGAAATGGTTCATTGATATATTCACATGTTTTTAATAGTTTCTTTCTCTATACCTGTATATATATATATATTTTATACGCACACAACATACCTATATGTAAGGCTTCAGGTATACTCAAATTGACTCTCGATTTCAAAAAATATTCACATGAATTGTCTTCTATTTGAAGTAATTGGATTTTTGTACTCGGTTATAACTCAACGATTTATATGATTTAAAAACTATGTTTAGATAAATATCATTTATTTAAAAATTTAAAAATTAACATGACTGAAATGTCAATTTTTTCCAAAAACAATGAATTATAAGGATAGTTTAAGTGGAATCATGTCTATATATTATAACCATTCTAGGTAGAAAATGTATGTAGCTCGCTATAGCTTATGTTTGTCATTGTATGAACTATTATAATTATAAATTTTGAACAGTTTTAAATAATTATAGTAATTATATTAATTCTAATATAATTATTATAACGTAAACGAAAATAAAATAAGTAAAATTCAATTCTATTTAAAAAAATAAAAATAATTTTATCATCGAGGTTATTGTATTTTATAATAACGTAATTTATTATGTTATGCATCAATTGCTAGTATCATCATCTCATATAGGTACCTCAACGCGAAATTTAGGACGTAATATCGGTCTTGTAACGAAAAATAAGTGAGAAAATAATATTAACATCGTATCCAGACCGAAAACATATTATTTTTTCGAAACAGTAATAATGTAATAATGATTTTCCACTCTTGTTTAACACTTGGTGACGTTGATTTTGTGTAGGAAGAATGTCGTGTGTGGCAGCTGTGGCGGTCGTATTCGTGGTACTCCAAATCACCGGCGGCCAGCTGCATCAGTCGCCGAACGAAGATCCGCTGCAACGGCATGAAGATGTTGTTCAGCGACAAGTGAATGGCGGTGGAGATGGTGAATGGAAGTGCCCGGAAGTGCGGAACGTGTCGTGCGCTTGCGATCTACCACACACGTTACGTTGCACCGGCGGCAAGTCGACGTTCGAGACAGTGGCCAAGGCGCTCAGACATCTGTCCGGTACGTCGTCAATATCACTTCTGGACTGCACCGTGCAGAACGTGGGCTCGCTGCCGGCCAGGATGCTCGATGGTGTCTCGCTACACGGGTTAGTCGTGTCCTCCGGCGAGATAAAGTCCGTATCGGACGCCGCGTTCGACGGGCTCAAGTCTCCGCTCCAAGCACTTGGCCTGCCCAACAACCAGCTCGAACGGGTTCCCAGCTCGGCGTTGGCCATGCTCAGCGGTCTCGAACGGCTCGACCTGTCCCACAACCGTTTGCACACCGTTCACAACAATTCGTTCAAGGTATTATTCGAGTCTTTTATGTATGTACACTGTACACTAACACTCTTAGAAAACTTCAAGTTTTGTGCTTTTGTATACAGTCTTAGTAGTCTTACTACAGTTGTTTCATTGAGTAGATCGTGTATAAATATATAATGTACTAGCTGATCCTGCACAGGATTATCTGTGATAAAATAAATGTCCTCATGGATTTGTCCCTTCTTGAATTTCGTTAAATGTTAAATTAATAGATTTCCAACACACAGTTATTTATATATTTTTTTGACCAATTATTACAAAATACAGATCTAAAATTATATCCAATCATAATAACTATTTTATTTTCTGTAATAAATAGACAATGGCAACAATACATAAATTAAAAAAAGTATAGTTGATGTGAGCCAACAAATCCGTGTGTAAGATCCTCTAAAAATTAAAAATTAAAAAAAATTGGTTTTGAGGTGCAAATCCTCGGGTATAGTATTACTTATACGTACCAAATTTTAGAACCATGAGTACATTAGACTCGACTGATTCACTTATTATACGCACGCACAAAAACATTGCATTTTATTAATAAAGAAGTATAACTTTAATTTGTGTATCCTGAAATTAATGTAAATATTTAAAAAAATCCTACTATTTTAAAATTTTAAACAATTTTTTCCATCTTGAAAAACATAATTTTGTATTTTTTAACCAAACACACACAAATATAATTGCAATATATACATACTAACTCTATCATCGGTCTTATAGTTTACTTACCAAAATAAATTGTGTCGAGTTCCATAATCTCACCAAAAACTTTTTTTCCTGATTTGATTGAGTTGTTTTGTTTACTACAAATGGTATTTAATATAATATATACTACATAGTATATATCTACACTATACACGGATATTGCGTAGACTTAGTCACACGGTGTACAAAAACCGTAACGGAAGTCGAAAATACTTGCGTCCTACACATATAGGTTTTGATTTACCATATGGTGAACGCTAGGTATTGAAGCATGCAGGTAATAGGTGTTTTATCTGGGTAAATAATATGTCCCCGATAGTGTAATGTTGCTGTTTTCCTTCGTATTTTAAAACTATTGAGTTTAGACATCTAGACGACATCTGTGGTTATATATTTTAAAATTAATACCTTATTCGACATAGACTATTGTATGGGGATAAGACTATAGTATTATATATTTATACAATGATTTTAATATTAGGTAATATTATATGTAATAATAATTTATTTATTATTATATTTTTTTAAACATGTGAAACTTTTCACTACAACTTTTACAATGAATACACATTTCTTTAAATCATAAATTACTAAAAATTATTTTACGTCGTCATTATTTAATTAATTGGTGATCATTTTTTTAAAATTAAGAATGGCCAGATTTGAGAAAAAGTATTGCAGCATACTCTTAATTAGCCGATTTTTTTGTCTGATTGCAGAGAAAAACATATACTGTATAATATGTTTGCTTTTTTCGGTAAAAGCGTGTGTTTTTAATAAGTTGTACCAATTGATAGAAAGTGATGCGAGAATAAATTGATTTAATGTTGTGGTGAATTAAAATGTGTTTATACAGTAGTTTAAGTACCTAATTTACGGTTTATTAAGTATTATGTTAAAAAATGACGTACTTTATTATGTAAATAAAAAAAACAACGGGATTTAGCTTAAATTATAAACTTAGCTACTTATATCTACTTACTATTTATATTTTTAGTATATTAAATGTTGTTTTTCATTGCAGGGATCTCCGAATCTGACGTTTTTAGATTTGAGCAATAATTCTATTCATTTCATCAGTCCAGACGCATTTGTTAATTTACCGTTTTTGAAAGTGCTTCGACTCCAAAACAATCTACTTACATCAGCTTCAACTTCCCATCTTCAAGGGCTCCGATCGTTGGTCGAATTAGACCTCAGTTCTAATCTGCTAGCCGGTCAATTGGGCCCCAGCACATTACCTAGGTTGCCAAACTTACAGGTCATATCGCTGGCACATAATCAGCTCAACAGCGTTAGACGTGGATCATTTGCTGGACTCGAGGGCATCGTGTCTCTGACGCTTAATCACAACCAGATCGACGTACTCGAGGATCACGGTTTCAGAGCGGTGCCTACACTGTCCCATTTGGACTTGGCCAACAACCGCATCGTGGCAGTGTCTAGTGCTTCACTCGCCCATCTGACCAAACTTAAAACGCTTGACTTGTCACACAACTTCCTGAGGAGTTTGACGTCTGATCTCATCGTACCACTAAAGAGCATCCAAGTTATAAAGCTAGACGATAACGACATATCAATCGTGGCTGAAGGCGCACTGAACACCGGCAACCACATAACGAGCATCTCTTTATCAGGTAGGTTCGCAATTAATTATAGCCACGAGAGCATATTTTATTACATAACATTTAGTACTAATTTATCATTTATTGAGGTATATATATATATATATATATATATATATATATATATATATATTCATTGTTGACGAATAACGTCGTGACCGTCGTTTTTATTTCGGTAAATAGAAGGAAAGCAAATACTAATCAATTGATTAATAGTTATTCTCTGGTGAATTGGCGGTACTAGAATTTTCGAGTTTATCCCATGGGTAGGTACCTATTATTTATCAAACTGTATTCACGGTTTAAAGAAATCCAATTAGAATTTTTCGTTATAGTCTTTAATCGATAATCGTGTAGTAGCCAAAAATTCAAAAATAAATTTTAAGTTCGCTCGTATCTTGTATCCTGTGTTCGCTTGTATCCTCGCATCAGTATAATCGTAATTATGATGGACGAGTTATCTGCAAAAAGCCTTCGTTTGGTCCTGTCCTATAGCCGGCGCCGTTGCTCTGTACATGTATAGCAATGTACCCGACGGTAACGGCTATCATAGTATAATAGTAGAACGTTTTGGGTGTAAGCACTGTAGCACGTGTTCAGAGTCAGGGGTCTGTCAAAAATTTTGTTTTTACCTACGGTTATTTAACAACATAATATTTTAAACCCATGGAATAAATCAAAAATTGCGTTAACCATACCACGGCGAGAACCAGTTAATAACTGTTCGTATCATATAATGTATTCGTGTTGGTTTTCTAAAGTAAATAATAATGTGTGTTTCCGTTGTGGACTTTCAGACAACCCTTTGAATTGCGACTGCAGTCTACTGTATTTCGCGAGTTGGCTGTCCAATCATAACGCTACTCACGCAGCCGGCGACACGGCCGTGTGCGCAACTCCACCGTCGCTGGAGAACGGTCTACTCCAGGATCTACCCGTGTCCAAGCTGACGTGCGGCGGCGAGGACAGCGTGCCGCCGCCCGAAGGTCCACTCGCTTCAATGCAACCGTATTCCGGTACGAAAATCTCGCTGCGCTCCTACCAGTTCGACGGCAGCCGCATCAGCCTGGGCTGGACTGTCGTAGCGCCGGTCATATCGTACTACTGCAACGCTCTAGTCATCTACGAGGACGTCGGAAACCACGAAGTATTGCTCGACTCGAAACCGGTCAGATGTAATTCGTCTCAGTTGCCCGATCCCAAGAGTTTGACGCTATCGTTATCGGCTAACGAACTACAGCCGACGCACAGTTACAGGTCGGTACCATGATGATTAATATTATAATACATATATTATGCAGAGCTCGAATTGGAATGGTGCGGGGGTAGGTTGGGCGGAGCTCCTTTACTATTTTATTTTTTTATTTATTTTTTATTTGCGTTTCTCAACTATGATGTTTTAATGGAATGGAAAGGGGGGGACGGCGTAATCTAATATCCATATTCATTTTTCATCAAATATGGTTTTAATGTAATTACTGTAATTACAATTTATTGAAAAATTTAATACATGTTAGGTATATTTTTTAATTTTTTTTTCTGGGAATTTATTATGTTATAAAATTATTGTATTAAGTGATAATAATTAATTGTAATAATTGAATATTTAAGTAAAAATAAATTCTTGTGTTTATTAGCATTAATCAGGTATTTTTAAAATAGAAATGTATAGATTTAAAAAAATTTAGTGATGATTGGGGGATATAAAGCCCTCCCCCCCCAGTCTGTGTACTGTGTTTAATTATTTTGCATTTGGAACGCAAATTTTAAATAGTTGGATTGAGCTCCTCTACTTAATTTTTCCCAATTCGAGCACTGCATATATGCATATACGTACGCACCCTAAAATATCGTATTATACAGCGCGATTCCGCACTTGAACCAACACGGCTTCTACGTGTGCAGTGAAGTATATCTAATCACGTAATCGTATGCGATGTTCAGTCGTAGACTTGCACATACTATTTTTCATCGCTTTCGTTGTGTTTCTCAAATGTCATCTGCACAGAACGTGTCACCTGTCCGCCTAGACGCCGATTATACTATAACATAGACACTGATATTTGTAAACCATTCGATCCTTACCTACGTATATAATTTTCTATACCTGTCATCTGCAGTCAACTGTCTATAAACTCGAAAATTTGTATATAAAATATAATTGTTCATTATAAATTTATGAATGAGCTACGCTTAATGGGATTCCATTTACTATAGACATCCTGTACCTAATGCATAAATGTATAATATAATATAAAAAACGCGATTAGCATACTTGAGGTTTGATGGTCTTAATATATATATTATTATTAGTAGTTTAGTACAGTATGGTAGCGCTGATCTTGCACGTTGTTACTTATGTGGATACAAATAATATAATACACAGATCTGAAACTATTTACAACCATATAATAACTATAGGTATTTTATTTTATGTAATTAATTTATCAATGGTAACCCTACATAAACAAAATAAATATACTCGTTTTTCGTGAGCAAACAAGTCTTTGTGTAAGCCTTTACTTCTTAAAATGCGAAATGTAAAAATAAGCTTTGAGGAGTAGATACATCTTCGACTATAGGATTATATATGTGCTAAATTTTAAAACCACTAATGCGATAGACTTGGCTATGGTTACGTTCGCAAACGTTCCCTTTTTATTAATATATGTAGATAGATATGGTTGTTTTGTGTTTACTGCAGTCTGCTGCAGTTACGCTTCAAATAAATAGTTGAGCACGTTATAATTTTTTCGGACAATCTATACAGAAAACTTCGAGATTACAATACCCGGCAGTTATTTTTTTATTAGCGCTTGTAGATTTGACTTAGGAAATAATTGTAGTCATTAATTACAAAGGCAAATTAAATTTATATCGATTTCATCGATGAATTAAAATACTGATATTATATTAGGTATACTTATATACTTTATACTTACCTATACACCTAATATTTTTGATCGCCAATCAGTTACTCCTGCAGAATACTACTTTTAACGATTAAATTATAAACACGAGAGCAAATAAAAACGTCCATCATTAAAACATTCTCAATATTTTCTATATGGTTGTATTTGAATTAGTAAAAATTAATTTCGATTATTCTAATAATTAATCCGTTCGTCATCCGCAGGTATTGCGTGGTACTGGTGGAGGGATACACGACCGACAAATCGGACGAATCGGTTATGGTGCTGGGCTGCAGCGACATCATACCTCTGGTGCCAAACGCTAACCAAGCGGTGCAGCTCAACAATCGGGCGGCGGCAACGGGGGCCGCAGACCCGCCCGACATCCAAAACCTGACCACGTCGTTCGTGCCGCCGTCGTCGCTGTTCGTGGCAGTACACCTGTCGGCTGTGCGACCGGACGCCGGCAAGTGCACGATAACGGTGTCCGTGTACACGATGGGCAGGCCCCTGGCCCACCACCGGTTGAACTGCACGGCGCCCTGGACCACGGTCGCGGATCTGCCGGCCGAGCGGTCGTACCAGGTGTGTGCCAGCATCGGTTCCAAGTTCCCCAAGGACGACGAGGAGACCATGGTGTGCACGTCGGTGGACGGCGGCGGGGGCGGCGTAGGAGGTGGCGGCGGCGGCGGCCCGGCCGATTGGTTGTTCGCTGCGCTGGGCGCCAAAAGCTACGCGTTTTTGTTGTCGGCCACGTTCACGGCCGTCGTGTTCCTGTTCGTGTTGCTGGCCTACAGGACTGCGTGCCGGGCGTGCAGTAACAAGAAGCGGACCGGCCGCGCGAACGCCGTCCAAACGCATCAGTGCTTCTTGCCAGTGCCGCCGCCCGACAACGGCACCAACCGGCCCAGGTACGTGAAACTTCAGGCCACCACCGTCCTGTAACAAGCAGATTGGTTCGTCGCTTTTGCAGCCGAAGTCGACCGCCACCCGCGCCCGCGGAACATTGTAAACGTATAACGTACTTAGTTTTTAAGTTTGTTTTTTTGTTTTTATCAAACCGCGCACAAGTCGGCCGAAGAGCTTATTATAATGTTGTTTAATTAGGTATGTCAGCTATTCTACGTGCCATATCGATTGTTAACTAAGACCTTTTGAGTTTTGATAAATTGCCACATCAATTAACATGTATACCATGCGATAAATATGTCCGTTGACGTTTACGTTCGGATTGATAATGTATCATATTTTCATATGAAGTCGTCGGAACACTTGTGATTGCAGGTTGGAGGATGATAAATATCGACACTCCTGCTGGTGGAATGACTGTATTTTATGTAGGAAGAGTTACTCTCCCCTCTGAAAACTTCACGGTTTCAAAATTGCAAGGTCTAAACCGCGGGGATATACTGCGTTCCTAGTTGCCTCTACGGAAAAAAAACTATGTAATATACATGTTTTATCATGACGTGTCAGACATTTTTACGTCGATCATGTTTAGTCCGATGTGTCGTTAAAGTTCGAAGTCGATGTTTTAGTAAACATTTCTCGGTACCACTAACCTCTATTCGACAAAATACATTTATTTTTTAAGGAAATGTAATTGTATGTTTGAATAATTGTTTTGATATTCATCATTGTCTATCGTGTTCTATTATAATATAGGTGCATATTTAATCTGAATGAATACTCAACATACCGAACTTAGTTCACAAATGTATTTTAGGTAGGTATTACAATATAAGACTGAAATTAATTTAACACTGTTTAACAATGTTTACTAACAAAATGTTAAAAATGTATTTTAATAAGTTTACGGTATTTATTATTATTTTAAACCAATATTGTATCAATATTTTATTAAAATTCATCTTAATTTAATTTCAGTAGGTACATGCCTTCTATTTCTTTAAAGTTACATTTTATACTTATATTTATTTTTCGTACATAACTTTTGTACATCGCAGTAGCATTATTATTTAACTTATTTATTTTTAATATTGTATAATTTTATTTTTAACACTATTTTTAATATATATACATTATGCATATAGTAAAAATTAGTGTTTGAGTGGAAACAAAGTCATATTGTGATAATGTACGAATGAGTAATGGTTAGTTGTAAAAAGTACTAACGATTATCATCACTGTAAATACATTTAATATTTATAACTGTACATAATATTGGACGATTATTGTTGGTTTGTATCTAATCATTTATATTTGTCAATTGAAAATAAATCTAACCGTTTTTAATCCTGTTTGAAATCATGGCTATCGTACGATTTTTACCACATTCATAGGTACCTTATTTTATGTGAAATATTGAGCAATCGATGAGGCAATGAACATTTAAACACGTGAAACTTTCAAGGGTATTCAACTCAACAACTCAAGACAGTAATTTATAGAAGTAACTTGTAGAGCCAAAATATATCATTAAGCTTATTTCTCATTTCAAGGGTTTCAATATCAAAATTGGTTTCTTGTTTTTCAATAAATGTGCTTATTACATTTGTTTTTAGTGCAAGACGCAAGTAGATACTCGTAAAAGCTGCTTCTGATTACGTTCAATCTAGATTATGCTAAAATCGTAATATTTTAACGTGAATTCAAGATAACTGAACTCTATTCTTGAACAAAATTAGACAAAAATATAAAATTTTGCATTTTTGAATTCTAAACAATTACAACGTATGAAACTATAGGTAGTAACTAATCTAATCAGCTATAAGTGAGTTTTATCGCACACGTTGTATTTTTCTGTAATTTTTTTTCCCATATCATTTTATTGTTTCTTTTTCAAATAGCTTGAATATTCAATTAAAATTTTCTCGTAAGTTTTAATTATAAACCAGTTACACAAAAATACCGAAAGTATCTATATAATATATAGTTACAAACCGTATAGATTAATAGAATTTTGTGTTAATTAAAAATAATATTAATACATTCAATAATAACCAATTAAATAACATAGAAAAAAGTTTATTTATGTTAAACACAATTTGCAGTAGCCAACATATTAATAAAACTAATTATATTTTATGCTGCCGACTATTTTATGCGCAACAAAATATGCGGCACAGTAACTTTTTTGTACGCTTCCAAAAAAAGAATGGCGCTTATTTTTAATAGAGTTTACCGCAGTCTCGGTCCCCGCACTTTCTACGGTATTGGAAATTTGCGTAGTGGTGCACTCTACTTATATTTTCTCAGGCGTCACGTTTAAGGCAAAATTCGGCAGTGAAAAACATCTCCTTAGTGGTGGACCCGTGAACTCGAGGTTCGCTACATTCTGTTTGGACGATCCTTCCATAGAATTATCAGATACTTGCTGCAACGATGTTGATTGGTTATGTGTAGGAGGTGCGTTCGTAATCGATTACATTAATACGGCGTTGGGCTCAATTGAATCTCCATCACCGCGACATGTCACGTTGATGATTGGCATTGAACTACTATAACATCGCTTAGTTATTAAATTCGGGGTTCTTGGCTTTCAAAAGTTTTCGAAGATCGGTCAGTTTGTGGTTCATAGGAAAAGACTTATATCGATACCTCGGCAATTTTGTCATCGACTGAAATATTTTGCAAGGTGTACTTGTAAGTATATTTACAATAAATAAATGTTATGAGAATCGAGTAAAATATTCGATGTAGGTACTTTTTGAAATAATACTGAAAACTGTGAGATGGGCATGAATATTTTATAAAAATCACTATAAGGTTGAAAATAGCAACAACAGATTTTTAATTACTTATTTATTTAATTAACTATTGTAAACAAAAAATCCAATGCAAAAAAATACAGCGAAATACGATGTGTAGGTTAGTTACTACCTAGTATTGATCAGTACATTAAAATTAGTCTAAATAATTTTCAAATGTAATTGTATACATAAGTTGGTAATGCATACTTGATGTCCAAAATATTAATACCTCACATTACATTGTACTATACATTGATATATCAGATACATGTATTTTTGAAATGCATTTGAATTGATAATTAAAAATAAAAAGGTAGCACAGTGATAGTTTAAAATAAAATTTATTAAACCAAAACTTATAATAAAATATAGGCAGTAGGTATTCATGATACTATAAATGTCAGTTTTATTTCATTTCTTGAGGTAAGGGCTAGAAACCTTTAACCTGCAACAAATTACAATTTTTCTCACAATAATCAATATTATTATTTCAGAGAAAATGAGAAACAAAGTCTATTACACCAGTAATCAATAAACCTTCTGTATAATTAAAAATATATTAACAACAGGAAATAATTTTCATTTCTTATGTCCTAATACTCCTAACTGAAAGATTCAAAGAATTTTGCAATTCTTAAATGAATACGTATGTTTTATAGTTGTAAATGGTTGAGGTATTCAACAAAGCAATTGGTTTAAAAATTATTCTATATTCCTAAGAAGTACAAATGATTGCTGCAGATTTAATACACTATCTGTACAACAATGCAAGATTTTTTAAATAGTACCTATGATATATATTTTATTTTTAATGGATACAGGCAGGGTTCGATTTAAGAATATGGAGGCTCTGAGCCCATTCTTAGACTTTCAGTAATTGCAATTATTTTTCAATTATATGAAATAATTATATACATTAAAATTTTTTGCAAAAATTATTTTTTGTAAAAATATGGTTGAAAAAATGTAATTATATTAATACGCTTCAAGATTTTGTTGCTAAAAATGTTTCATCCACTTTAGAAAAATCTAATCTAAGTAAATCAATTTCATTACTTAAAAGAGCTGATAGACAATAGTCAGCAATGAGTCATTAAAGTTTTTTATTAATTTCATTTTTGAAAATAATAGGTAGTTATACAAATTCCTGCAAATCATCAAATATAAATTATTATTCGTATTCTCACTTATATGCATTAATTTCTTTAGATATTTATCATTGATTGAATATTTTTATTTTATCACAAATTCCAATCTATACTAGAATTGGTATATACTTGAATAATTGGATATAAAAAAAAAACTTTGTGTAGAGGCTCTCATTTTATTGTGACCTAAAATCCAACCAGGATATAGGAAATATCATAAAACATTAAGACTACAACAATAAACAAACATACATATACTATATTGTTGTATAATATAGTCTATTAAATTGTGATTAAGGACATCACATATGTTGTATCCATCTTACAAAGTTAAAAAATAGCAAAATTGCGTTAGATACAATCAATTTTTTATAAATATTACAATTTTAAAATGCTCATGAATAACTAAAAATTTTAAATACCTATATAGACAATAATCCAAGATGGCTTGGATATTTCATTTTTACATTTTTTAATAGATCAATTTATTCTAATGTTTATGAAGTTAACATATTGATTTTATTATAATATATAAAATATAGGTATTTTGTGCAATTGTATTTATTCAAATCATTAATTGATTTCTTATTAACATTATAGTCAAAACTGTCAAATAAATACGACTCAAATGCCTCAACGACAAAGGCATTATTTCATTTTTCTTAATTATAGACTGGTTATATCTGTATACACGGCAGTTTTTGTCAGAAATCATAGTTTCAGTAAATTATTAAATTATTTAATTTATAATTTCTTTGGATAACTAAAGATACGACTGTTTTTTTTGGAAGGTACAAAAAAAAAATTTATTATAAGGTGGCAGTAATAATTCAAGATTGAAAAAATCGAGATACTTTTTTTGTTGGGGCAGTTAGTGTTATCATTTAGTCTAACTTAATGATTATCAAGTAAATATTTTATTATCTCATGTTAAATTAATATTAAGCTTATAAATTTTAATGATCAATAACATTGTATAAGCTAAATACTAATGTATAATTTTTTTTGTATGACATTTTTGATTTGGAATCCATATCACCACATCATCAACAAATAACAAACTTTTATGACAGGTCAAAATAAATAGAAATTTATTGCATTTTGTTTTATACAAGAATATTTAACTCTAATGATGGAACATAAATGAACAATTTTGTGTATTATAGTAATATAAAATTGTTAATTAAGTATAATATCATGAAAGGTTAACTACAATATTCACAATATAAAATTATGTCATACAAATAAATAATGTGAACTTTGTAATACATAAATACAATTAACATATAATATAATATAATGAAAACAATTAGATGACTTATTCTTAAACATGTAATATTATCAATAGAATGTTTATTTAAGTTTACAGGCGGTGAATATCCAAACAAACAATTGTCAATTGAATATTTTTGCAAACTCTAAAAACCATTCAAAATAATATCACGTGGATCATTAATTAGTTTTATAACCAGACTATAGTATATCCTTATATTAGCAATTTGCTTTGTTCTTAAAATTAACCAACTTAGGAATATTAGTCCAAAAACAACATTAGAAAACTTACTTACATTGGAATTATTTTATTATATGAAGATTTAAATTATAGCTAAATCTACTCTTGGGCGTTTTCTAGATGATGAGGCAGATTCTTCACTTGTTTCAGCCAATTCTCTTTTTTTACCTCCATGCTAAAATATAAATTAAGTTTATTAATATACATTATATAACATAATTATAAGATTAAAAATGAACTAGCTAATATGTTTTATGTATAACTAATACAGAAATATTTAAATTTTAATAAAAAAAATGAAATGTTAAGGAACACAAAGTGATATTTTTATCATTTTGTTATTATAATATATTATATTTTAAAACCATATTAAAGTTAGGTAAATACTAAAAAAGTTGTTTATTGAAATATTTTAATCGAAAAGTATTCATGGCTACATAATCTGAAAGTTGAAAAATATAATTTATACTTGGAAATCCTTATGACGAGTAATAACCTATATTATAGTATTTATAGATTCAATATGAGTACATAAAAAGCATTAATGTTTTTTTAAATTTTATAAAAATATTATCATATACAGTAAAAACCGCTTATTAGAAGCACTTTGGGACCAAGGTAAAATGTGTCAACTAACCGATTATTTTTAATAAGCGATTGAAAAAAAAAAAAAAAATGAATAATAGGTAAGTGAAAAAAATATGTATGTATGTACCTATATTGTATAATTTAAAAAAGTATGTACAAATGTATATATTTTACGATATTATTTAAACTATTTATCAATTGTAATTTGTTTTTACATCAAGTAACTCTACGACCATATTTTCAAACGAGTAATATTGCCTCTTTGGCTTTGTCACTTATTTTGATGTGTGTTTAGGTAAAGCTCTAAAATAAAGCTTAGTCTCACTCGCATTAAAAATATCGGAGGATGAGTATTGGGCTGGCAAATCGGTTTAATGAGTTTGAAACCACGATTAGCCACACAAAAATTGGCTAAAATCTCAATGTTTAGACATTTTTAGATTTTTAGAAAAACGAAACACTAATAATCTTTACGTACACATGATGAAGCTAAACTACAAACGGTACAGCTAGTACATACAGAAAGAGTATTCTTATGATAAAGTACAGTAAAAATAAATGTAACGACAGCAAAGATAAGATTTAAGCACATTGGTTATCGATGGATAATCGGTATATATGTCAACTGACCTCCTAATTGTTTTAAATAACCAATGTGATGTTTCAATAATCCGATTTATTTTCAATGTTCTAATATACGTCCAATCCATCCTGAGACATTTTGTTTCAATAACGCGATTGTATCAATTATCCGTGTTCCTAATAAGCGGCTTCTACTGTAGTATCATTAATTAAAATAAGATTTTATATTTAAAACAAGTTAATATGAAATTATAGTATGTTAAATATATTCTTGAATTGCACATTTACCTTTTTATCCCATTGGTTATGTAAATAGCGGAGTAACAAATTTGACTTATCAGTAACAATAACTGAAATTAAAAATAATGCAATTTAAATTTAAAAATATTAAATCATTGACACATTGTTAATGGAAGACTTATATTAAATAACATACACATATTATAGTAATTCTTATATTTTGCTTCTACAATGAATACAAATCAAGTTAAAACTAACAGTTCTCATTGCATCTTATACACAAAAAATATTGTAAGTATTTTAAAATAAGTATGAATTTAAAAATATATAATTTATTTATACATTCTTGTCAAACATTATATGTGAATGATACTAATAAACAAATTTTAAAGCCATTAAAAATCTATAGTAACTCAATTCAAGAAGATAAAATAGAGGTAAATTATCAGATTTCATTAAAAAATAATGTGACATGAGTATTATGTTAGATTTTAACTGTTCTACTATATGGATAAATGAAAATATATTATGTCTATATATATTCACTATAGAATCTTCTTTTTTAGAATAGAGTTTAATTTGTAATAAAATAATACAATAACTACAAACTTTGATCACAAGGCTGGTCATCTGTTGTTATATAAACTGGTACACGCTTACTTCGACCATTGTCTGAATGAAAACGCGAAAAATTGCGTTTATCAAAGGATGGCATACCATCCAGAAATTCAGCTATAGACTGAAATATATAAAAGTAAAATTCAATTGTTTTCGTCTTTGATAAGTTAGAAACAAAAAAATGATTACAAATACAATTGAATATTTATTATATTATTTATAATTAAATATATACTAATAATAAAAATATAATGGGAATAAATTTGGCATAAGTTTTATTAAAATATATATCATTTTAAGATGAGCTTTAGATTGAGATTGTGTAAATTAAAAACTATGTATTAGTATATTGTTATTAAATTGTATGTATTAATCAACATATGTTGAGGATACTATTAACCAAATCTAAAAAAAAAAAAAAAAATAACAAAAATCTATAGTAGTTCTATTTAACGAGAGAAAACAATCGAGCTGGAACAGTTCATATTATACTAATGTTATATAAAAAAATAAAATATCATAATATTATTATCAGATTTAATCTACAATTCACTTAAAGCATTCCACACTTCCACACAATATTAAATGTTGAGAATTTTAAAAACAAGATGTAAATGTAACATATACGTCCTCTAAGAAAACAGCATGGTCCACAGGTGATAAATAAGTAAACTCACGGGTAATACCTATCATCTATTTATACTCACCATTTTGGTACGATGCGTAATCCAAAACGTGTACGGAAAAACGTGTGTAGATGAAATCGGATGCTTGGTAGGTAGAATTGGCAAACGCGGAATGCCAATATTATCTCAGGATATTACGAAATGCGAATATCGTTAGCACAAATGACACTGTTCGTCCGGTTCAGTGAAAGTAGAACAAACACTTAAGGTTAAGTAAAACGATAGACAGACAGTGTGACACACCGTTCGTCGGAAATCGGAGTTGCAGTAGGGCTGTTGTCCTGGGTAGGTGACGGTCGTCAGTTTAAAAGTGAACACGATGACTGCTGACTGGTAGACGGTAGTCAATAGATCAACAGCAAATTAGTGATGTTATCATATTGGCGTATTTTATTTTCAGTATTAATAATAAAAAGCGAAAGGGCAAGATTTGATAAGGAGATGAACACTGTTGAAATGACGGGAAGCATGAGTTCTAAACCTATTAGAGTGTGAGTAGAGTGGTTCTGATTGGTTCATATTTTTATGGCGGTAAATTCAAAACTATAAAATCAAATAAAGGTAGGCAATTTAATTTAATTTATTATTATTGTAAAAAGATTATCTTATATGACAAATTGGTTATTATTGTAAATGTATTTATTAAAATTGTTTTTTTATGAAACTTATACCAAAAACCAATAATTTAAGAGGTGTTCATTAAAAAAAAAATGTAGTACTCATTTTTCCTGTGTACTCTTCTATCCACCTAATTATATCTCTTTGTTTAGTCGCGAATGTTTTAGAATTATTTAAGTTTTAATTTTAAATTAAAAATTTTGTTTAATTTTATAATATATTATTCATTATTTAGTAATCTTGTATCTTAATATTTAAGTATTTAATTACATTTTTTTCTTTTTTTTTGTATTGGTAGCTAGGTGTATTTATTGCAAGATTTTTACTGTGTATATTATATCATTAAGAAGTAAAATGTTAACACATAATATTCATTATGTAATATATAATATTACTTATTAGTTATTAGTAATTTCAATAAATTATGTAGGTATATTATTATGTTTTATATCTATACAGTATGTACAATTAAATGTATTTTGTGATAGGTAGTATTTATGTAGCTAGTTTAAAAGATGGAAAAATAATAAATAAATAAAATTAAAATAAACTAGTTTATGTATATTAAATAATATCGTAATATTCATAATATTATACAAAATCATACATGATATTGTAATATATATTTTTTTTAAATTGCTCATTTACAAAAAAAAGTTTTTAGGATATATTAGGTACCTGTTGTGTAAAAAAATATATTAAGAAAAATCAGAATTCAGAATTATGGTTTTAAATATTTTTTGTGATAACATTTAAAACACTACAAAATTTTTATTAACAATTTAAAAATACACATTATTTGATATGAAATTTGGATCTTATGATTGAATTCACAATTATTCTAGATTTCTATAGTATATTTGTCTAAAAACTTCATTTTTTCATTAAATTTATCTGTTCATATTTTATGAGTAAATGATGCATACATTTCATGAAAGCTGTTCTTAGGTGTCAAGTGAGCTGAAATGTAAAGTAAGTGCACACATTTACTAACATTTGAGATACATATATTTATATTTGTTTTATTGAGATAATTAAAATAATTTTATATTTAGATATTATAGATACTACTTATATTAATAACAATAATAACAAATAAACAATGTGGATAATGATTTTACTTGTTTATTGCGTACATCAATAAACAATAAACATAATGCTATCAAATGGGAAAAAGAGTTTGAACTACTAAGTTTAACAACTTATAACGTGAGTGGGTCTTTTCCTAAAAATACACAAAAAATAGTGTTTAAAGTAAATATTTACAGATGACATTTGTTTTATTAATTATTCTATATTTTCCTATTACATACCTATACAAAATATATAATAAATACATAAGTATATTTTGCCTAAGTTTAGAAGAGATACCATTGCCTTCACAATATTTGTCTAAGTTCGAAAATAATTAAGTCTCATGTAAAACATACATCATGTTTCAAGATTCACCATTACTGTAAAGCAGAAAAACATGAAAAGGTAATATAATATTCACTTATTTGTTGGTATATAAAATGTGCATTTAAATGTTAACCTATTAAACTAGGATTAATATTTAAATATTATTATATTACACATTATATTCAAATAGGTTAATTGACATATAATACTTTATTCCTAATTATTTTTAGGTAATAATTAATATGATTGCTAAAAATGTATCTCGTTAAAAGTTGTTAATTACTAGTAATCTTTAATTGAATAACTTATCATTAAAATTTAGGCTGCATACGAACTGAGTCCGAGTATAACCTTTTTTGACGAATTGAGTCCCGGGTTGTTTAAGGGTATATACCAATTGAGTCCAGTGAAATTGTAGGTATAATACTAATTGAGTCCATGTTTTAATACTAACTGAGTCCCGTCAAACTAAAAAATTCTACAGGTATGGTTAAAAATGTTTTTTTTTTTTTTTTTAAATATTTTATAATATAAATATATAATAATGTAGGGGTATAATACATTATGAATAATTAATTGTGTGTAATTTAATGAATATAGATAATGATAAAATAAAATTTTTAGTCAAAAATGGTTTTTTTTTTTTTAAATATTTTACAATATAAATATATAATAATGTAGGGGTATAATACAGTATGAATAATTAATTGTGTATAATTTAATAAATATAGATAATGATAATTTATAATTCTTTATATTGGTAAAAATTTATGGGACAAGCATTGTACATATTCAAATCTATTTATTTTGTTTGATTGCAATAGCTGTATTTGATGTTGAATTTCTTTTTCTTTATCTTTTATAGAATTTCTTGTATTAATTATATGAATACTTCTAATTTTTATATACGTTTCGCATTGTACATTCAACAAAATGTTTATAAATTGGTAAATGTTTGGATGGGCTGAATACAACATAGCATTAATTTTTGAATGAAAGGATTCACAACTGTTAGTGGTCCTCGCCAATGAATATGTAAATGAGGCCCACATTTCCGGAGGATATTGTGAGTTTTCAGTTATGTAATTTTCTAATATGTAGTCAGTAAAACATTCCACTCGATAGTCTTGAGGTAAAATAGAAATTAAGTCATCGGTGAAGCAATCATTGATATCTAATGGGTTTAAAAACGAAAGCCCAAAAAAAGTTTTTAAATATTTACCAATTTCGGAGTTTTTATTTTTATATTCATCAACTAGACCCAATGATTGGATTTTTCTAAACCATGCTTGTCCCAAATGAAATCGACAACCCCTAAGTCGTGTTGATGGCCAAACTTTATTTGCGGCAACATGAATTGCCTTTTCAAAATCAGAAAATACAGTTTTAGGATTAAAACATAAATTAAGTTTTTGACATTCTGAAATTATTAATTGAAAAGAAGCCTCATACCTCGTTGAAGCTTTGTCCAAAAGTAAACAAAATACTAAAGGTATGTAGTTATTATTTTTCATTCCGTGGATAGTAAACAGTTGAGTAAACTGTATTGGACAGCTTTTAAAAGTTCCGTCGATATAAATCGTATCACACATAATTAAAAATTTTAAATTAGTAACACATGAAAATATTATTATACTTTTAGTATCGTCATTAATTAATATAAATGACTCGTCTTTGTTTGTCTTCGGGTTAAAATCTATGAGAACTGCATGTAATTCTGATAAGGTTTTAGGTAATTTAGGCATTATTGATGTTCTAACATGATGTATATTTTTTCGAATTAATTGTAAGTCATAGGTATTTAAAGTATCTGTATCATTCTCTCTGAGTTCTCTATGAATAATTTTTGAAGGTCTCTCAACTGGATCATCTAAAGCTTTACGTTTTAATTTATTGCTAATTTTCTGTCTATTTATTAAATTTTCACTCGGTTGTTCATGATTATGACTAATAGATTTCTCAACTATAGTATTAAATTCATTTAATTTAAAAAATGACTTACAGTTATTTTTGCAACAAGTCCAGCGTTGGTGATTATTGGCTAAATTTTTGTGAAAACGAAATTTGTATCCGTCGATTACAAATATAGTTTTATTTCTTTCACTTAGTATAACTTCATCCATGATGCTTGGTGTACCTCGTAAACTAGAGTGTGTAATATAATAAAAAAAATTCCAAGTTGATATGAACTATATCAGTAGATATCGGTAATTATTATACTAGTGGCGATAGAAATAAAATCTAAAATTCCCGGCCTATAGTATAATAATATGTTACTATATTATCTGATGAAAGTCATAAAAATGATATGAACGAAATGTATATATAGTATTATATACGTATATTGACATATTGTACATCAGTACATCCATTTTGACGCCCGGCACGGCTGTGCGGCATAATTTTCGCTTTGTCTGGACTCGGACGGTTGATTTTATATTTTACTCAAAATAATCCTCGGACTCAATTCGTATACTATTAGTTTCCTAACCCCGGACTCAATTAGTATATATCTCGTTAGTACCCAGGACTCAATTAGTATATAATTTTTTTTCCCTTCAGGTATAGGGACTCAATTGGTATACAGCGAAAATTTAAATGTATGTACAAATGCTAATGGTCTTAGTTGTTAAAATAAAAATTTTTCATTTCAAGATCAATAAAAAAAAAAAGGTACTAATACTCATAAAAAAAAAATATAAAATGTAATTGTATATTTTGTATTAATTATAGGTATATTTATAATGACAATTGTTATTTTTTAGAAGCAAAGATACATATTTAAAGGAATATCCTTGTGAAATAGGTATATATTTTGAACATAACTATTTTCTGAATAATGCTGAGGCTCTAAGACATAGACAACCTACTGAGAAATCAGAAAACTATTTTTTTCTGAGTATTACTCCAACAATCATTCTCCTCCATCTGCAATATAAATTTATAAAATTGATTTACAAAGTAAGCATAGTAATGAATATTTTAAAATTATAGCAGATGATTCAAAGTGTCTTACTAGGAACTAGGAAGTTGTGTTAGATCACCACTTCATCAATCTTTAAAAACTTTGAATTAATATTTAAAAATATGTAAAGTTATAATTCTTTAAGTGTTATTAAAATTGCCTATACCAAACTCCTTTAAATAGCCAGCTTATGGCGTCCATAGATGTTTTGTAGTATTACTTAATGTTTTTAAATTTAAAATCTATTTCACAGATCACGACGATCACGTTCTATAAGTTACGAATCTTAGTAATCGTAAACTTTGCTTAAAATTTGGTTTATTTATTAGCGGTGCCGAGTAGGCAATAATAATATGAATTCACACTTCAAAACATATCCATTACAGTGATCTCTCTTGACATCGAGTAGTCATGGTATTACATTCGAAACTTACT